CTCATTTCCTCCCCTAGACCCTTCTGTAAGGGGATCTCCAGTGGCCTACAAATGGGCCTTGGGTATCCATTCCGCATTCCCCCGCTCATTCACAATGATATGATTTTTTGTTCTGATGATGCCTGATACCTGATCCCTTCAACACAGTCACACAGGCTGGTGTGCTTCTTCCATGTGGGCTCTGTTGCAAATGACATGATCTTAAAGTAGCAATTCAGAGAAGGTAGAACTGAAATTATTTAGAACAGATGCTACAAGGATAAAATAAGGCACTGGAAGAATAACATCTAAAGTGATGTAACTTAAAAAAATACAGAATAAAGGTAGGGGGAGAAAAGGGGAACCAATCACAATGATCGACATAATACCTCCTCTCAGGGGGACGGACAACAAAAAAGTGTGTGAAGGGAGACTGCGGTTCGTATGAGATATGCAACAAATAATAATTTATAAATATCAAGGGTTCATGAGAGAGGGAGGGTGGGGGAGGAGCGGAAAGTGAGCTGATACCAAGAGCTCAAGTAGAAAGAAAATGTTTTCAAAATGATGATGGCAACATATGTACAAAGGTGCTTGACAAAGGGATGTATATATGGATTGTGAAAGAGCTCTAAGAGCCCCCAATAAAATGATTTTTTTTAAAAAGGGAAATTACAGAGTAAGTGGAAAATGTTACAAAATATAAAGAGAATGTAAGAAAGGGGCAGTTTTTTAATAGTGATGAAGGAGCACTGAAAACATGGCCCTACTCCCAAATCCAGACCTACTCAACTGAGAGCACTCAAACGTTTTGATAACGATATTGATAAATGATACATTTAACATGATGGAGTCTTTTGTGCTCTTCAGAAAGTGTAACACTTTTCATCCATGTACTTAATCGCACAGCAGCGCACTGACACACGACAGTCTTCTCCTTCCCTAAATAATTTCTTTCATAAATAAGGAAATTGGGTGCCATTAAGAGGAGCCCTGGTGAGACGTTGGACAGGGCAAGATATGACAAAATAATAATTTATAAATTATCAAGGGCTCATGAGGGAGGGGGGAAGGGAGAGGGAGGGGAAAAATGAGGACCTGATGCCAGGGGCTTAAGTGGAGAGGAGCAAATGTTTTGAGAATGATGAGGGCAATGAATGTACAAATGCGCTTTACACAATTGATGT